GCTTAACCAACTGAGCCACCCAGGCGCCCAAATCAAGTGATTTTAAACGTAGAAGTTGCCATGTTCCCTCACCCCCAATTGAGAATAAGATGAAGATTTAGAACCTCTGAAGACTCTGTCTACAAAGCCAGTACCATAGTCCTAGGAGGAAAACCAGAAGAGACTTGATGTCAAGGAAGCTAAGGGGAGGAAAGTGTTTTGAAGAAAGGGGTGTGATCAAAATGTTGCAGGAAGATGTCAAGCACTATAGAAACTTAGAGGCCAACCTTTAATTTAGCAACGTTGATGGACGTCATGTGGTTGGTTAGCAGAGTGGAAGTCAGATTTCAGCAGGATGAATGAAGAGGTGAGGAAATGGAAACAACTTTTTTACAAGTTTCAGAAGGGGAAGACTGAGGGTTGGCACATCCAGGGGAAGAGGTAGCAGAAGAGAATTTGTTCTTGCTTTTGTGTTTTGATTTTAAGATGGATTAAATAGGGCCTTGTTTTAAAATGCTGCAAGAAAGGAGCCACTAGAGAAGAGTGAAGGTACATAGAGAAGACACAAAATGGAGAACCAGATGGGTGCACCTGTGCTTAACATTTGCCTGGGTCTGCACACACGTTCCTGCACTGTCACATGTGAGCTCCCTCTTGGGCTCACATACTCATATGCATAGGGGTGACTGCCTGTAATCCTCCACATGTGTATTTCCAAAGAGCAGCATGGAAATTGTCCCTTGTACTCAGGTAAATGGAGTCTTGTTATCCTGGGAAGAAAACCATAGACCTGGGTCTTGTTTCTGAAGGACTTCAGTAGTAGGCAGTCTGCATCCTCAAACTTGTGTCACAGGGACAAGTGCATGTCTATATATTGATGTGTTAAGAGGAAAAATAGCAAGGGATAGAAAGGTATAGAAAAGGTAGAGAAAAATACTGTCATTCATGTTAAGAAAGAAAAAGAAAGGACAAAGAGGGAGATTGTGATTGGAGATGTGTTTGTGTTATGTGGCTATGTGCATAGACTGTCCATGAAAGAATACCCAAGAAACTGGTAACAAGTTGTTTCTGTGCACGGGGATGGAGGGTTGGAATTGAAGGCAGACTTAAAACATGAAGGAATATGGAATAAAAAGTAAAGATTTTTTTTTTAGTAATGTACATTTTACTGTGTTTAAAAAAAAGAAGAATGTCCAGAAGTAGGTAGCACTGTCTGCATTGTAAAGACAGAGTAGGGGCAAGTAAAGCTTAAGCCACTAATCCACATTGTTAAACCAAGTCAGGAAGAGATGGTTGGAGGACCTAGTCATCCTGGCTGTGAATCTGCCTTTCTTTGGGACCATGGGAGGTGATGATTCTCAATGGTAGGTTTTGGTGTTGTGTATCTTTCTTCCTCTTTCAGTTACCCACAGAAAGGGGGAAAGGATGATTGTTAGCATTAATCTACCTTCTCATCAGGAAAGAAAATTTATTGGGAATCTTCAAGGGATTCTCTTTCTTTTCCCCCCTTCAGAAGAGGAATGTTTATCACTGCAACAAATGCCGGCTGCAGTTTCTCTTTGCCAAGGACAAAATTGAACACAAGCTTCAGCACCATAAAACCTTCCGTAAACCCAAGCAGCTAGAAGGTTTGAAACCAGGCACGAAGGTAAAGGGCTTGTCACCGTTTCTTCTATAGATCCAGGGGGCGGGGGGGATAGAGATTATCAGTATTCCAAGGTTTAGCACAGTGTCTAATTGTTCCTTCCCTTGGCTTGCAGGTGACAATCCGGGCTTCCCGAGGGCAGCCACGAACTGTTCCTGTTTCCTCCAATGATGCACCTCCCAGCACCTTGCAGGAGGCAGCACCACTGTCCTCCTCAACGGACCCTCTGCCTGTCTTCCTTTATCCCCCTGTCCGACGCAACATCCAGAAGAGAGCTGTTAGGAAAATGTCAGTGCCTTCTTCCGGAGGCTGGGGGTCGGGTGGGCACGACGACTCCTATAGCCAGTGTAATCTAGTAGCCTTTTAGCAGGATCTGTTGTCTGAAGCCCCCCCAGTTTGAGGACTCCTGGGGCGTTAACAAGAAATTTCTTTGTTTCTTGACAGGAGTGTCATGGGCCGGCAGACGTGCCTGGAGTGCAGCTTTGAGATCCCGGATTTCCCTAATCATTTCCCTACTTATGTTCACTGCTCTCTCTGTCGCTATAGCACCTGCTGCTCTCGAGCCTATGCCAACCACATGATCAAGTAAGTCTCTGTTAAACCAGTGATCTTATCTGGAAGTTCAGATTCTCCAGAACTCATTTCATTCCCTCCTTCAACTCTTAGAGCTGTTTGTCCATCTCTCCTAGCAGGGTAAGAGTCAAACCCATGTTCATTTGGCTTTGATGGTCTGTGCTCTGATTTTGTAGGACCTTGCTACTCAGAGTGTGGCCCAAAGACCAGCAGCAGTAGATGGGAGCTTGTTAGAAATTCAGCCTCCGCTCCCCAACCCCAGGCTACTCAATCAGAATGTGTGTTTTAATAGCTCTCCTGGTGATTCATGTGCATACTCATAGGGAATATTAATATGACAGGAAAACTGGCTTGGGTTGAGGTGAGGATGGATTAAAGTGGCATCTCTTTTGTTGGGGCATTGTCAGAGACCAAGATCTCTTGGTTAATGATCAGAACCCCCTAACTCATGCTGTTTTTTCTTTGTCTTTCTCAGCAATCATGTTCCACGCAAGAGCCCCAAGTATTTGGCTTTGTTTAAAAATTCTGTGAGGTAAGGGAAAACTTAGTGATGGTCTCTTAATTTTTCACGTTCTTACATTAAATCCTTTTAAGTAACTTAGGGAGGGGTATGTGAATTAATTTGAGAAAGAGGAGAAAGGATACTCTCTTTATTAGACCTCAGATTTTATCCCTAGTGTCACTGATACATTTGTTTAATATACTCTTGATTCTTTTTCTTAGTGGAATCAAGCTGGCTTGCACTTCATGTACCTTTGTTACCTCTGTGGGAGATGCCATGGCCAAGCATTTGGTATTCAACCCCTCTCACAGATCCAGCAGCATCCTGCCACGGGGTAAGTAGTAGAGATGGGAGTTAGTGGGACAACAAAAAAAGAAAATAAGGATATAAGTCCTACCATGAGTCAGGAGCCTCTCTACCTGGGCTAGCTCGTCCACTGTTCAGATAGACATCACCAAATTGGAAGCATTCCAGGCTGACATTCATATAAGACTGGAGGGCTTGTTTCTTTGAGTTAACATTTCTTTATTGTCTCATTTCCTATAGGACTCACTTGGATGTCTCACTCAAGGTAACAGGAATCTCACTTCATGGTTTAATTTCTATTTTCAGTGTGTTTTCATCTTTTATTATTATCGCTGCTACTAATAGTAATTCATTTTCCTGGTTTAACTGAGCTTTCTTTTCCTCTCTTTGCTAACCCTTTAGACATGGCCACACTCGTGACCGAGTGCATGACCGGGGCTTGAAGAATATATATCCGCTTCCTGCCTTCCCCTCTAATAAAACTGCCACTGTGAAATCTGCGGGGGCCACCCCAGCTGAGCCTGAAGAGCTTCCAACTCCTATGGCCCAAGCACTCCCGTCACCAGCCTCAACCGCAACCCCACCACCAACCCCAACCCACCCCCAGCCTTTAGCCCTTCCACCCTTGGCTGCAGAGGGAGCCGAATGTCTGAATGTTGATGACCAGGATGAAGGGAGCCCAGTCATCCAGGAGCCTGAGCAGGCAACAGGGGGTGGTAGTGGCAGTGGGGTTGGCAAGAAGGAGCAGCTGTCTGTGAAGAAGCTTCGAGTGGTACTGTTTGCCCTGTGCTGCAATACAGAACAGGCCGCTGAACACTTCCGAAATCCCCAACGACGGATCCGGCGTTGGCTTCGGCGCTTCCAGGCCTCCCAGGGGGAGAATCTGGAGGGCAAATATCTGAGCTTAGAAGCAGAAGAGAAGCTGGCTGAGTGGGTCCTAACCCAGCGAGAGCAACAGCTACCTGTGAATGAGGAGACCTTGTTCCAGAAGGCCACCAAAATAGGACGTTCTTTGGAGGGGGGGTTTAAGATCTCTTATGAGTGGGCTGTGCGTTTCATGCTCCGGCACCACCTGACTCCCCATGCCCGACGAGCTGTGGCCCACACCCTACCTAAGGATGTGGCAGAGAATGCAGGACTCTTCATTGAATTCGTACAACGACAGATTCACAACCAGGACTTACCCTTGTCCATGATTGTGGCTATTGATGAGATCTCCTTGTTCCTGGATACAGAGGTGCTGAGCAGTGATGACCGTAAAGAGAATGCCCTGCAGACAGTGGGCACAGGGGAACCTTGGTGTGACGTGGTGCTGGCCATTCTAGCAGATGGCACTGTCCTCCCCACCCTGGTTTTCTACCGAGGACAAATGGATCAACCTGCTAATGTGCCAGACTCTATATTGCTAGAGGCGAAGGAGAGTGGCTACAGTGATGACGAGATCATGGAGCTGTGGTCAGCCCGAGTGTGGCAGAAGCACACCGCTTGCCAGCGCAGCAAAGGCATGCTTGTGATGGACTGTCATCGCACTCACTTGTCCGAAGAGGTGCTGGCTATGCTTAGTGCCTCTAGCACCTTGCCTGCGGTGGTCCCCGCAGGCTGTAGCTCCAAAATCCAGCCGTTAGATGTATGCATCAAACGAACTGTCAAGAACTTCCTACACAAAAAGTGGAAGGAGCAGGCTCGGGAAATGGCAGATACCGCGTGTGATTCTGATGTCCTGCTTCAACTGGTGCTGGTCTGGCTGGCCGAGGTGCTGGGCGTCATTGGGGACTGTCCAGAGCTGGTGCAGCGGTCCTTCCTTGTGGCTAGTGTTCTGCCTGGCCCTGATGGCAACATTCACTCACCCACGAGAAATGCTGACATGCAGGAGGAGCTCATTGCCTCCCTAGAGGAGCAGCTGAAGCTGAGTGGGGAACAGTCTGAGGAGCCCTCAGCTTCCACTCCCCGACCCAGGTCATCTCCTGAAGAGACAATTGAGCCTGAAAGCCTTCACCAGCTCTTTGAGGGTGAAAGCGAGACCGAGTCCTTTTATGGCTTTGAAGAAGCTGACCTAGATCTGATGGAGATTTGAGTGTTGGGGTCATGAGCGGGTGTGGAGTGGGGGTGGGAAAGTGTGAAGGGGAGGGTAGGGGGATTTCGGGGAAAGGGGATATGCCAGGTCGGGTATTTGGTTTATATTTTTTAATTTTATGCCACCACTCCCCCCGATGGTGACTTCTGTTTCCCTGTGGATTTGTGGATTATTAGGAATACCAGTAGTGATCCCGTCTGAGCCAAGAGCTGGCCCATTGGTCGTTCACTTCTGCTAAAAACAGGTTTTCGTGACTTTTTTTTTTTTTTAAATTTAAATCACTGTGTTTGGTATTTTTCTGACAAAATCAAGAAAAAGAAAAAAAAAATTCTTCGTGGGCGAATGTTAAATTTTTTGTTTCCCCTTTTACCTCAATTGTATCATAGTACATCTGGATTTTTTTTTGTTTGTTTTACTGTGTGGCAATGTCTTTGGGCATGATGCTATCCAACCATTGTCAATGTGAGAACATTTCTGAAGATGGGAAAGACAAAAATATGTAGCTCACAAACTCTGGTTTATTATATATATGGATAAAAAAAACTTTTTTCATTGTGGTCTTAACACTTTTATATAAAAATGAAAATGGAAAAAAAAACCCCACTGAACTCTCTTCCTTCTCCTTTCCTTCCTTCCCTCTCCAGAGATGTTGATTTCTCCAGCAACTCTGAGATACAAAATTGTGGCTTTAAAAATGCATGAAATCACCTCTCATCCAGAATGATGAATTAGATTTGTTTTTCCTCACCACCCTCCCTCCAACAAAAACATGACAAAACCAATATTCTTTGCACTTGGGATCCTTACCCCTTTTCCCATGCTCACACCATCACTCTGGACAAAGAATCATACATGTGTCATTAGCAAGCAAGAGGTACTGAGGTGATCACAGTGTTAGGGTGGAAGCCATTCCCAGTGTATGGGTCTTCATCATATTAAGTGGACAGCATGCCTGTTCAAGAGATCACATGTCCTACAGCCAGGAGCTAATTGTGCAAGAAGTGTTGAACTTTAAAAACAAGACAGACCACTTGTTGAAATCCTGCTTACCCTGTGGCTTTCCTTATTTCTCTTAATGCTTAGAGAACAATGTGACCTGAAGAAGAAACACACAGGGGTGTGCACAAAGAAAAAGACATGAATCTTTATTTTTCACTGCCAGCTTCAAGGAAAGAATTTTTCTACGATTTGCATGAGGGATTTTTTTTAACTGTATGTACTCATGGTTATAAACTGAAATGTACTGTATCATACAGAGAAAAGGAACAAAAACCCAAGTCCAGCTTTCCCACAGCTAAACCTTCTGTCCATCCCAAGGCTTTCAGCAACATGTCCCTCCTGGGAGCTAAGGAGGCAGCCTGCAATAGGCTTGTAAATGGTTCATCTTTAAAATGTACATAAGTGGAACATTTAATAAAATGAGGGGAAATGGATTTATAAACAATGTGGTTTTTTTTCTAGGTAACCCTATTTTAGTAGGCTTTCACAGACTGGGACATGCTCAAGATGTGATGGGCCTGGTGGTACGGGTGTGACATTTGTTACTACCCTGTTTCTCCTCACCTCCATTTTTTGGTTTCTTAACCCCCAGCACACTATAATATAGTGAACTGGAGTGATCCCGCCCATAAACAGTTTGGCCAGCTTCATGAACCCATGGCATCTGAAAAGTGAACTGAGGATCCATCTTCTCTTGGGCTTCTCTTCCCCAGCTTTTTTGCCTGATGCCATTTTGACAAATACGGACTTTGAAGTCAACCCTTTGCCTTTGAGAAAGTTCAAGAACTATGGTCAACTATCTACAATGACCTAATCCTTCTCTTTGGTAGTCTCCACAGCAGCCCCAGCCTCAGCAGAGCTGGGTTCCTGGCCTCTGCATACTATATGACTTTCTTGATGGGTAATTTTTTTAAGACCATAACACCAACAGTGGATCAGCTGGGTTTGGCCAGGAAGTTATCTTTGTGGATTCCACCCGCATGGCTTAGTAATAGAAGGAAGTTTTTTTTGTTTTGTTTTTTTTATAATTCAGTTTAATCAATAAACAAGTATTTATTGACTACTTTCTGTGTTGAGACTGAGTATGTGGAAGACTGAAATAGAAAACTCATGGTTTCTTTTTACTTTTCATTTACTAGTTTTGTTGTAACATGGATAAAATGGAGGGATATTTTGATCTCCCCGTCAGCGCTCTCACCTCACTAAACTTCTGCAGTTTTCAGTTTGCTGCCTACACTAGTTTCTCAAAGCAGTTTAGAGAGGATGTGCATCTGAATCACCTAGGGTGTTCATTTTTCAAGTTCAGGTTTAACACCATTTTGGGAGAATTTTGGCTAATGCCCCAAGTGATTTGACTCACAGCTAAACTTAGGACTTTTAAATGAACACATAGTAATTTTAAGAGGTTTTCTGATACTAGATATGGACAATAAACATTTAAGTTAAATGTTGAAGTTACTTAGTATTAATTAAGGGTGAGGAGGTGGCATGGGTGAGGGATTGAAGCTTACCCAGAGCAGCTTTATTAGATGCTACATTTCCATCTTTGAAATGCTGTTTTAACTAAAATCACATTTGCAGCCAACATTAAACCAGAAAATCTTTAAGAATCTAGCACATGGGTGGAAACGTTGAAGAAAAATGTTAAGCACTTTGTTACCCCACAAAGCTTAAGCCTGGCCTCTCTACGAAGCGGTTTTCTAGTACAGGCCCAAATGACAGTGGTGCATCTCCTGTACCGTCATGCAGAAAATCCTATATTTGCTGTAAGAATCAAGAGCCGAGGGTTCTGTCAGCAGGGAGGGAGATGGCATGTGGCAGTATTTCACACCTTCACTCCTGGTGTGACTTAGACAATAAAACCACTCAGCAAGCATTTCAAAGGACTGATTTATTTTACAATAGAAAAGTATACCTCTGAACCAGCCAAGTTCAAAGTTAGAAGAAGGGTACAACTGCAGTTCTGGATAATGCATCTGTATTTCATTCAAAGCCACTAAAAAGGAAGAGAGCATAATAAAACTGTGACGCCATCGAGGGAGGAATTAATTCCTAAATGCAACTCTATCCTCCAACCAAAACCCTCTCAACCCAAAGAATTCTTTTGGTTGAGACCTCCAGAAAAACCCAGCTTAGTACAAGCCAACGGGCCTCCCAACTGTTCTACCACTTATTTTTAATTCTGTAATTTTAATTTCAATCACCTGATCATGTGAGCAATCTCCCAGTTAGTCTCTGCAGACAGTGGTCCCTCAATTTCAACACCTTTTTCGGTGACCGTGGCGATTTGAAACTGAAAGAAAGAGTTCCCAATGAAAATTCTACCCCCCACCCCATGAAGTCCCTGAGACCTACTCAAAGGTCAAGTTAGGGATCTTCCCCAATCTGAAAAAAGGAAATTTGGTCATCTGTTCTTCAAAAGCGAAGACCCAGGTATTACAACTATCCAGAGCCCACCAGTTAGAGTCCCATTTCTTTATTATTCATATCCCTCCTCACCCGGTTATAAGAACGGGCATCTCGATAATACAGCACTCGCATGCAGCGTTCCACTAGCTCTCGGGCCTCAGTCTGGCTCAGGACTGGCTGCTTCTCCAGAACTTCTCGCAGTAGAGGCTAGGGAAATGGGAAGAACATGGGAGATACCAGGGGCTGAACACCTGTTGGTCCCAAATCCACAGCATAAATGATTAAAAAAAAAAGACGACAATCCACCTACTGCCTCACCACACTGAATTCTGCTTACCTGTGCTAACACCAACTTGAAGGGTAAATTCTAGGGCATCCCTCTTTGCACATGTCTACTGAATCTGACATACCACTTTGTCATCAGAATATAAGTGCCAACACGTATAGCCTCCAGACTACAAAGAAAGCCATCTGCCCAGCAGTAGGGATCCTAGCCTAGTCCTCACGTTGGAATTTCAAGGGAAGAACAAGCAGATGACAACTAGCCCCCACTGCCTTGTCTTCCCTCCCCTCTCATGCACGTACCTGAGCCAAGTATGCACCATAACCAGTGGCCAGTGAAGGGGCTTCATAAGCGACACCAAGCATGTCCACATAACCAAGGAAGCTAACAGGACAACACAACAGGTCAAAGAATTCATTTCATCTTAGGTTTTCTTAGGTATCTTAGCTGCAAGATGGGGCCATGGGGTCTGAGAAGTGGCATTCACTCAGAGGAAGAGATAAAACACTACACAGACACCAGAGGTTGGGTAGTTGGGGAAATTAAGTTACGTCAAGTCAACCTCTCTCCATCAGCATAGCCTCCAATGACCATGGTGTTCCACAGGGGGTTCATCTTGGAGCGGCGGCTGTACATGGCCCTGGTCAGCCATGAATGAATAGCTCTAGGACTATAGCTGTGTCCATCTCCCAACAGCTCTTCATCAATCCTTAAAAGGAATTGGTCATGAGAAAAAGGAAAGAATGGAAGTCGGGAATTCCACCCACCCCGCAAAAGAAGTTACCATAATCTTCCCTATTTTACACCCCCTAACGCCGAAAACTATGTATTGCAAACACTCTCATCTTCCACCCCCAACAATTTTTCTGTCCTCTGCTGCAGCCTCAAAGTCCTCCACTCTAGAACTTCTAAGGGGATTTAAAGACAAAAACAGTGACTTCCTCTCCCCACCTGGGATCTATCCCCTATTCTCCAGATAACTTACACCATCTGGCCGAGAACTTGCTTCAAATACTGGAAATCTGCGTAGTCTCCGGAAGCACCCAGCATGGTGCTGTCGTTGACTCGCATAATGCGAGAGATGTTGCGGAAACGAGCCAAGGAGCCGTAGGAGCCCAGCATGTCTGCCGCAATCACCACTCCACCCTCAAACTTAACGCCCAGGACCGAGGTCCCGGTCACCATGGGGTTCCTAGACAGAGGGAGAGAGGTCTGGCGAGGGGAGAGGCACAGGAGAAGAGCCTGAGCTCTCTTCCACGCAGTGGGTTCCGCTTCTGATTTTCCATGTCTCCTTTCACTCTTCGGGACTCTCGGCCCCGTGGTCCGCACCTCGCCTTCCCCGGTTTCCTCAGAACCGACCGGCCCTTCCAGGCCTCCCCGTCCCGCCCCCTGCGCAGGCTAAGACGCCGAGAACTTACTGCGTGTGTGTAATCGGACCCCCGTAGGGCGCGGACGCCGGCTCCACGGAGGCACCAGGAGTAGGCGGGATGTGGTAAAACTGCCCGGGAGCCGGACCTCCGGCCCAAAGTCTGGACCGCGACTCCAAAAACGCTTCCATCTTAGTCACGGTGGCAGAAGAAATGATAACGCATGCGCCAACGGAAGCGGAAGTGACCCTTCGGTGGCCACACCTTCTTCCTGCCAGCCGCTTCCAGCAGCCATGTTGATGAGGTCACAGCGGACCGTAAGCATCCTCGTGGTTGGTGGCAGAGACCCTGAGAGTTGGAATTTTCTGGCGTCGCAGCGCTTGGCCGCATCGCAGTAGAGGCTGGACTAGATCAGAGTGTTCTGACGCACAAGTTCAAGGAAGGGAGGTTGATTGGGAGGTGGGTATGGGGAGCCACTTCAAGACACTGTGGAGGCAGAAATTCTCGTGTCCTTTTTTGGATCTTTATCAAAAAGCCCCACGTGAAACTGACAGTGAACCAGGATCGCTTACGTCTGTACTTCTCAAAGCAGTCCTGTATGGCAGGCATTATTCGACCTATTTTATAAATAAGGCTTGTGGCGTAGTTATGTACCTGACCACACAGCAAGTAAAGATCTGAGTCTTCAAGCCCAGATTTAAAAAGGAATCATATAGGGACGTCTGGGTGGCTCAGTGGGTTAAGCGTCTGCCTTCAGCTCAGGTCATGATCCCAGGATTCTGGGATCAAGTCCTCCATTAAAGGGAGCCTGCTTCTCCGTCTGCCTGCTGCTCCCCGTGCTTGTTCTCTGATAAATATAGGAGAATCTTTTAATCATACAGATGTGCATGCCCTGGGGTGTATGGTATCCCAGGTGGATCACACTCTATGGGACCCTGGACAGATGTCTGAAAGTTCCCTTATTGTCAGTGTTCTTGCCCTCCTCGTGAGCAGCAGAAAAATTCCATTGACTGTGGGCGTGAAACTAAATTCCAGGAGTTCCCGTTCCGATGTGGTTCTGTATCAGGCGCTGGAAGCAGTGTCTAGAATCAAACTGGTGAATCTAAAACCACTACTTTGCCACTCCTCCCTGATGTGGGAAAGACGTTAGGGTTCGAAGCTGATGGCCAAGGAAGAATTGAGAGGTCTTTGGTGCAAAAAGGTGATTTTATTAAAGCACAGGGACAGGACCCATGAGCAAAAACAGCTGCTGCCCTGGGGTTGTGAGGGGTGGCTGATTATATACTATAAGGTTAGGGGAGGTAAGGAAAAAGGGAGGTTTTGAGAGAACTTATTCATATGCTAAGGAGGACCTACAAGATACTGGAGGCCTTGC